TTCTATATTGATGATTTGATTGATATGTGGGGTTTAACGTCCCAAAACCATGATTATGAGAGACGCCGTAGTGGAGGGCTCCGGAAATTTCGACCACCTGTGGTTGTTTAACGTGCATGCACCCAAATCTGAGTACGCGGGCCTACAACATTTCCGCCTCCATCGGAAATGCAGCCGCCGCAGCCGGGATTCGAACCCGCGACCTGCGGGTCAGCAGCCGAGTACCTTAGCCACTAGACCACCGCGGCGGGGCAGTCCAGTTCTATATAGTGAAATGTGTGCGCTGCCGAACGTTCAGGGCCTACTGCGTTCAAGTATTTGTTGATGGCTTGGTATGCATGATGCATGATTGCCATTAATGGACGTACACCCTCTTGATCAGACCCGCAAAGCCGTCAGTGTTTGTGCGAGCCCGCCGGTGGCGAAGTTTCCGCAACGCTATCCATATATCGCACCATGTTTCTTCCGGCGCGAAAGATACGGTGTCGGCAATTTAGACTGCTGCATTCGATATGGACGATAAGGTGTTAGTCCTTGGCGCAAGCGAGCTCGTTGATTCCGCTATACTTGCTCGTACAGACACAAGCGTTGTAAATGTAACTGGTCAAAACTACGACCGCCCTCTAACGGCGACGCCCTTCCTTACATATGCATGACTAATCTTGAGTTATGTTGCGTGGCGCATTTCAATTATCCCGAACATGCATGCAACCAAGAATGCAATTCCAGTGATGATAAAAACTGGCCGTTCGTGACTAAATGTATTTAACCGAACGAGCGCCGCTAAAATGCTCGAGGCGGGCATATGTTGGTGAAACAAGAAGTACCACTCTCCCAGAGAGCTAACACGTAATTCGTAGTTTCATTTAAGGGATTTCGTTTTGAGTATCGTGGCGTCTTGAAGAAACACTCGATTGGGCTACGGGATATGTCATTCAAAATGCCTCGACGATGTTTTTAATGACTTTGGCCTTGTTACGACAAGTATTCTCATGTATCATTCAGGTGTGACTAGAGCAGACACACATTACGTGTCTTGAAATGAAATTTACACACCAGCTATGGGTGTGAATGGCCATTACGTGAGTGGTTTTGGTTTCTTAATTTGTTTTCTAAACCGAAAATGGGTAAGCTACTGTCTCAAATATTTCAAGTTTCCTTCAACGATATGGTCATTCGGGCTAGTTGGTTGCTGAGAACATATCAAAGATCATCGACACACGTTATATCACTGTTAACTGCAACGATAGCCTATCACATGTGTGTTGGTGCACTTTCATATCGCTTCTAACATCTTTGCTTTCAACATTAGGAATTTTTAAAAGTCAATATGCTTGGTTAACTGCACTCTGTCCGGCTTGGTGCACTGAACTTCTAGGACAGGGTGGTTGGGAAAGCTGAAAGAGATATTGTGCACGTCTGCTGAAGGAAAGGACAGTCTTTACAGCATCGGTTCTCAAACTGAGTTCTGTGGAACCCAGGGGTTCTGTGACTTATATCTTAGGGTTCCGCGAGCAACCAGGATGAGTGTGACGCACTCCTGTTTTACCCAAATTAGCAACTAATTTACTTTTTAAGGGAAAGAAAAAGAAAAATATATAAAGAGGAAAGGGAGAGAGCCTAACCAAGTTTTGGCTCGGTTGGCTACCCTACACTGGGGCTATACGAGAACAGACTTATTCTCAGACTTATTGCTCGGTTGGCTACCCTACACCTTACTATACGAGAACAGACTTATTCAAATTTTCTTTTTACCCATGCACCGTAACAGACTGCAACGATTCTTTGTAGCCTTTAATCACATTGGGATCATTGCAAATTTTATTACCTACACTTGCGTTTGCTTCGTTTTGTTGTTTTTTCTTCTTGTCCCCACCCTGCTTGGACCTTTGTAAGGTCTACAGTTTTGTAGAAAGAAAGAAAGGAAAGAAAGAAAGAAAGAAAGAAAGAAAGAAAGAAGACGAAGAAAAGAAACGAAAGAAGAGAAAGAAAGAAAGAAAGCAAGAAAGAAAGAAAGAAAGAAAGAAAGAAAGAAAGAAAGAAAGAAAGAAAGAAAGAAAGAAAGAAAATGGATGTTGCCTACATTTCGGTGTAGTAACACCTAGCCGTCGTCGAGCCCGGCCGGGGTAATTGGAAGGCACACGAAGCCGTGAACGCAGTCACGACTTGACGCGGGCGGGAAAAACACCCTGTACGTTGCCTCAAGCAGAAAAATGCTCTTCGTTCAGTGCTTGCCAACAGCGAATACGAAGCAACGAAGCTTTTTTTCGTGCAGTTTTACAGACAAGAATAATATTGGAAATTCATACGCACAGCAATGTAAAGAGAAATGAGCCCTAAATTAAAATTACACATTTTAGAGATATATCCTTGCGGATTCAAACTGTTTGTTGACGAGAGGTGTAAATTATCGAGAGGGGAGAGCATGCTAGTATGTGCAAGCGTCCTATATTACTACACGTAACGAACGCGCGTGCTGCACGATAATTAAGAATGAATTGTGGTGGCTCTGCAGTGATTAATTGTTATAGAAGTGTCAGATGTGAAGTTGTTAACGAGATACAACGCTTGTGTGGAAAGGTGGGCGGGCCCCGCCGCGGTTGTCAAGTGCCTAAGTATACTCGGCTGCTGACCCGCAGGTCACGGGAACGAATCGGCGACCTGCGATTGGTCGCGGGATTGAATTTTCTATGGAGGCGAAAATGCTCTAGGCCCGTGTGCTCAGATTTGGGTGCACGTTAGAGAACCCCAAATGGTCTAAATTTCCGGAGTTCTCCACTACGGCGTCTCTCATCATTATATGGTGGTTTTGGGACGTTAAACACCACATATCAATCAATTAGAGAATGACGCTGTATATACCTATAACGTTCACGTAGGCATGACGCCAAACCAATAATTGTTTAGGTGAACGCTGCATGATGGATAGAACGGCTGGACCAATCCGAAAGAATCAAGTCCTGAAATTCCGGAGAAATTAGGCGTAGCCCCATTGGTGCTGTGTTGAAGCACGATCACAAATGTTGTTGTCGTCTTGATCGAAAATGACTGTTCCGGAAGCTAGCCGCGGAGTATTCATCATGAATCAGGTGGTCAAAAAAGCAAGACGATCTAGGAGAAAGAAAACTACCATATTTTCCTTCTTCTCCGTTATTATATACGAAAACATGGCATCGTGAGCTACGTTAGAGCAGGACAATCTGGCATCGTGACATTGAAAAAAAAAACTGCTAAAGTGCTAGAAATTTTTCTAAGTCGCAGAAAGTTCGGCGCTTGATGCACGGTCCTACGGCAGTTGGTATGCCGCGTCGACTGGCAAGTCTATCTTCGAGATGCATAGCATCTTCCTCGAGAGTGCGTTCTTTCTCAGCACACCCCATGACCCTCGGTACGATTGGGCGGAGCCAGGCTATGCACTCACTGTGGAGCGGAAGTTGCGCGCGATGTCGGCATGGGTGGGCGTGGCTTAGCTACGGCACATGCTCGGCTTGGCCAGCTGGTCCGGTATCTGGTCGCTAGACGATGTGACGTTTGCTTTGCCTCTCTTTCTATATTAGTCTCTCTCTCTCTCTCTCTCTCTCTCTCTCTCTCTCAGTTTTTTCTCTTGTTGATCCTTTCATTTTTTTGTCATAATGCCAGTGCTTCGATTTACTCTCTTCCCACCTCTTTTCCCTCCTGCTCACCGTCACACCTCTCCTCCGTACGCTAACTGCTCTTTCCCACCTTCTTACCGCACAGTGCAAGGCTATGCTACGCCCTGCTAGCGCGCGTGGACAGCGCAGTGGTTAGGACCCGGGATAGAGGAGTCCAATCCCACCTTGTGAAGACTTTTCTCGACAAGAATCTCTTTTTTTTTCTCTTGCTTTATATTTTTATTTATGTCTGTCTTTGTTTCCGTCGCTCTGTCTCTGTGTGTACTCGTTATCTCACCCTTTATGGTTATTACAGGCCAAATCGGAACGATGAGTAGTCTGATTTGCTCAAATTCTCTGGCACATACCCGTTCACGATTATGATTGATTGTGGACCAAAGACGTTTTCGGGTGAGATTTAACAGCTTCACTGCTCAAACACACTAACAAAAAATAACGAAAGAATAAAGGAATGAGAATTAAATTTAAGAAAAATTATCAGCAATAATCTGCTCACGTAAGATATAAAGCGTATGAAGAATGATTGATTGATATGTGGGGTTTAACGTCCCAAAACCACTATATGATTATGAGAGACGCCGTAGTGGAGGGCTCCGGAAATTTAGACCACCTGGGGTTCTTTAACGTGCACCCAAATCTGAGCACACGGGCCTACAACATTTCCGCCTCCATCGGAAATGCAGCCGCCGCAGCCGGGATTCGAACCCGCGCCCTGCGGGTCAGCAGCCGAGTACCTTAGCCACTAGACCACCGCGGCGGGGCAAGCGTATGAAGAATACCTTCCTCGAATACATAGTGTGGTGACACGGGGTACCGAGGATAAAGGAGTCCGTACAGATAGATTTTCACGGGCTTACATCTAACATGACTATTGCATATTTCCATTCACAACACAATGTGGGGAAAAGAAGCAGTAATATCATTTGCTAACAGTTCATCCTCCTTCTTATTCTTTCTTTCTGTCTTCTGAGTCTTCTTTTTTATTCTTTCCACATTTCTTCCTTCTTCCTCTTCTACTTGCTTTAACCGATATACGACGCTGCAGGCCGCAAAACAGCGGCAACCAAGAGTGCATTTGTCTCCCGAACGATTCACTGCCGCCTTACAAATCAAAGCGCTTGGCTTCGAAAAAGAGTCGATAGCGATCACTAAAACGCGAGCCAGCTTCATGTATCACCTCCTGTTTCACGGGCGTGTGTGTTGGAGAACGGTCCATCAGAGTGGCTCAAGGTTCCAACACGATCGACGCCGTAATGACGACCCAGTTGAAAGCAGCCTTCGCCTAATGGTTGCTACCGATTCCAACAAGCATGCCAATGGTGTTTTCTTTTCTCACGTTGCTTTCAGCTCGAAGCAGCATACCGGAAGTCACCGCAGCTCCACAGCTGTTTGAGTAAAGTCACTATCTACGCTTTCCGGTGAGCGATCTTTATTTTTATTGTCTTGCTTACTTTTGGCTCTTCGGTGCATTGTCTCTATACATCAAGTTAATATTCATGTTAACTCCTTTAATAATCATGTTTGCTTGCGTGATCACAAGAATGGTTGCAAATGGACAAGCACTGAGCTTTTGTCGCATCTTAACTCGGCATTTTCGGGCTAGCAAACATTCATTGACTACTTGGTCGGCACCTCAGCTTTGTCGGCGTTACATTTCTGAGATATCGTTCCCTAATTACTTCATTTGATTTTCTAGATTTTAAACCACAATAGAGTATACTTCCATTTAATGAAGTGCTTGCTATTTGCGACGTGCGCTTTACAACCGGAGTTGGCAGCTTCGCGATCAACAAATAAAATTTGTTCACGTTTTTTTTTTTTTGCTTTTGGATATAATTGATTTGCTATCGGTACGTATTCGCAATGTGTTTTTCATTTTGAGAAGTTCTTGCGTGCTCAATGAAGAGGTCGACCTGGAATATTTGCTTAGTTAACTGAAGAATTTAACAATACACTATTACACGTAAGCTTACAAAACTTATCTTCGTATATGCAGCAGTATGGGGAATTTGTAGAAGGGGCCGGGTTCCTCGTGCATATTGCAATGTGCTTTCGTAAACAAACTAAAACTGGAAATTATTTATCGGAAGGTGTCTTACAGGTTATCTGAAAACTCTACCTCACAGCCCTACTTATCTGGTCGCTAATTATGATGTAGAGATCTAAGCCTACGCCTCGAAGCAATATTATGCAGAAACGTTCCAGGAATACACAAATATGCGAAGGCAACAACAATACAGCGCGTCTTCGTTAAAGAGAAATCGTAAGGCTTTAATTTGTGCACATTAATACTTAGCTTTCACTCACAATTAGTATAATTCACGTTCTATAATTTGATTTTATATTCATTAGTTACAAACCGCAGCTGGGACGTCTCGCCTGCCGTTTGGAACCTTGGAACCACCTTCCGCATGTTTGCCTGTACTGTATTCTGTTATTACGTTACTAATAAAGACATTATTTATTTATTTATTTATTTATTTATTTGTTTATTTATTTATTTATTGCACGTTGCTTTTGTATGCAGCTTCTAGCGCAGGAGACGAATCAGGGATGTGTTGTTAATCGATACAAGGCCATGCGAATTCATTAGAATCTTTATAATACTTGTAACATAATTTATGGGTTGTCTTTCTTACGATGCAGACAAGGGAGCCTTATCGTGGTGTTCGAGCTCGAGGTCGACAAGCATCACACACCCTCTGTCGTCGACCTGGAGAGCGAGTTCAGGGAGACACTACGGCGGGAGGCCGAGAAGGGACCCCATGGCGCATTCGGCCATCTCAAAATCGACCAGAACACTATAGAGATGACGGGTAAGTTATGTTGCATGGTGCCATTATGCCTTCTTTCAAGCCAACGAGGCCAATCACACAGCATTCGAGCGAAGTCGAGTGTTCTCAGATCCCTTGAGAACACAAAAGCACAACAGGCGTGTCGTTTGAACGCAAAGGAGCACGCACTAAAGCGGTTAATAATAGCGGGTTGTGCGGAACATGCATTGCAATGCTCAACTGAACTTCAAATATTCGAATGTTATTGTTGAAAACAGAATGACCACTGCGCGCTTTTTTGGTCATATCAGTAACTCCTATAGTCGGTTGTTAGGCATATGTAAAGTTCTGCATGTCAGATGCTGGTATTCCGATTCTTCGTACTAAACTATAGACCACACCTAAAAATGAAAGGCTGCTATGTTTGTGCCGAAGCACAAGCTGATTAAGTTGTGGCACAGAGAGTGACACCTGATAGGTACGATCATTTCTAATGAATGTTAGTAGAGAATGATGAATCTCTCCCTGACGTTTATTGCATAAACTTGTGAATACTGGGACAAGATGATGAAGAAACACACACACGTGTTAACTTCTAGTAGTCTAACAGGCGCTAACTCCGTTGAATGTTACTGCTCGGACTGGTCATGCTTACGATAACTGACATTGCACTCCATTAGAAGAACAGTTTTTATGCCACGGTTCTAAGTTAGATTCTTTCCTGTATTTTCTCTACAGAAATGCCCGAAAGCAGCCTACCCCACCCCGGTAACGCTGTAGACAGAGAAAGTACAATCAGCGGCAGCAGTACGGTCAAAGAACACAACCAAGAAGGCGATCAAGAGCATCGGGATTCAGAACAGTGGATCAACCAGCACAGTCAGGATCCGAGCGATTATTTCGTCCAAGACGACAACGAGACTTCGCCTCACGGCATTGGCAGCACCGATGATTCTTGGCAACCCTTCTTTCCTGAACGGCCTGCAGAAGGCGATCGGGCCGAAGGCGAGGACGGTGAAGTCACGTGGGAAAATGCACCTGAGCTGTCCGAAGACGACGATTCTCACGACGAAGGTCGTCAAGAATACAGTTCGAAGAAAGATCATCAGGGAGGTCACGCCATTGCTGCCGTTAAAGAACACGGAAGCGTAGTCATAACAACTCGGCCACAAGTAGTAGTCACAGAGCCCCCGTACACGACGGAGGAAGGGTATCCGCATGTAATCGACGCTTCAACCCCCACGGTACCCACGCGTATCATTGCAACTAGTCAAGATAGGTTCACGAACAAACACGGCTCGGAATTGACCGAACTCACCGTGGGTGCCGGAGTCGTAATCAAGGTAAACAGAAACCCGGTGTCCACGAAAGACGCCTCGAAGGCAACGCCCATTAGACCTCTCCTTGTGGACTTCAAAGATGTACAAGAGCCTCCGGCCCCTCCGGTATCCGTTCAAGGTCCTAACGTCGCAAGCTCCGCCGCTTCGCCGCCTGTGCTAAAACCGGCGGTCCACACACGAGTCAGCGGGACCGCTGTTTCACCCGGAAACAGCGGATCAAGCGGCAGTGGCCCACCTCTTCGGCCACCGTACAAGCCACTGTCCTCCTCGGAAATCAGGGTGGGCGAAGCACCATCGAGTAAACCGAGTGACGCGATTTCAGAAAAGCCGATGCACGGTGTCGGGCAAGCATGGCAGATACACTTAGACGATCCCAGCACCCATACTGGCCCTAGCGTTACGCTGAACTACAGACCAAGACCTTCCCAGACGGCGACGAACGAGGGCGTCTCGCATGGTTCTTCGGCAACGAAGACGCGTGTCAACCCACAGGATTTAGGCGTCTCGATGTCCGTGGGGACAGGTCTATCAGTTCATCAGCAGCCATCGGTGCAGAAGAACAATCACAGGAAGGAGGTGACAACGCCCAAGCCCATCACGTCGACCACGGAGTTTGAGATCGGCGTGGGTCTCTTCGTGCGCCCACCTGTTGCCAGCGGCAGCAACAAAGTCAAAGGAACTCGCCTACATCAGAGCACGAAAGCACCGGAGCCACAGTTTATTGACCTCACGGCAGGATTAGACGGTCTTCAAATGAACGACAGTGTCCACGATTCAGCAAAACCAGTACCACAGGAAAGACCTGCGAAAGAGTCAGCTTCGGAACACGCATGGCGTCCTGTGGCAGAAACGCTTCCTGGTACATCTTCAGTTTCAGCACAAGCTCCTGTAATTGTACCCAAGCCGATGCGAAGGCCTGCACAAGAGTACTCGGAATTCGACAGTGTATCTCCTTCCAGTGTCTCCATCAATGACAAACAAGACAATGACGAAGCTACTTTTATTCCGACCGTCTATAGAGAAGGAAAGAACGCAACTACGTTCGTTCCGATGGTCAACCTGGATACCAAGAACAAAACACGATTCATTCCTCTAGTCCATCAAGACAGAAACAACGAGACTGCGTTCATTCCTGCAGTCCCACAAACCACAAACAACGAAGCCGCACTCGTTCCAGCACTTCATCAAGACAATAACAATAAAACCACGTCCATTCCAGTAGCCAATGAAGGTGCGAACAATGAAGCTGCATTCATTCCAGTAATCGCTCAAGACCGAAGCAACGAAACCGAATTAATTCCGGTCATCGAACAAGACGGAAACAATGAAACTACCTTAAGTCTGGTCGGTGGTATGCGCGAGGGACACGAGCTCAAGAACCCCGAGCTCAACATATCATCCATCTCGATTTATCAGACGGTAAGCACCAGCAGCGGAGGCCATTCCGAGGTGCACTCGGTCATCTACTCTGGAGGGCAGAACTCCGGTGGCATCGCCAAGTTTATCTCGGGTGACTTGCCTTCGAAGCCCGGCGCGTACGACTCCAAGTACACGCCCAGCGACGAGAAAGGTGTGTGATGTTCTCCTGTTCTGGTGCGTCACAGCGCAAAAAATACACAACAGACAGAACTTGAAACGACGCCGATGAGCACGGTCGTTTTGTGTTCCGTCCATGGCATGTTTTTTTTTGTGTGTGTGTGTGTGTGTGTGGTGTGTGTGTGTGTGTGTGTGTGTGTGTGTGTGTGTGTGTGTGCGTGCGCGCGCGCGCGCTGTAGTGCATCAGAATAATGTACCAACAAACCCAACTCACCGCTTCATTCTTCTTCTGCCTAGCACTTAAAAGGGCCCTGCAACACTTTTTCAGCGTGGTCAGACAACTCTGTCGATTGTTTATACATTATAGATCAGCATTAAATCGGCAAGAAATCGTTCCCTCTTTCTTCTACAAATGATTCCACATATACCCAAACTCACGTGGCCACGGTGGCTGATTTGAGAGCCGTGAGCTGCATATTTACTTAGGCCGCCGGGGGAGGTCGCCTCGTGCCCGCCCGCGCGCTCACAATCAGCCGCGAATTCTGAAGAAAACAAAAATAGCTGAAGCTTATGAAGCACGCGTGATGTAACTTTTTCCCCTGTGCCATTTCTTCATGCTTTGCTTCCAGCATGCTCGTCAGTACGAGAGAAGAGGGAAAGTAATCACAGCGTGTGACAGAGAAAGAGAGAGAGAGAAACAACTTCATCCCATCTTAAGGGAAAAGGGCTGTGAGAAGGCGAGGAATCCTACTCGCGGTCGGCTTCCTCTACCACCTTAGCCCAGCTAAGGATATATCCTCCTGAAATTCGGGGTTGTAGCTGCGCATGGCAACCTCCCACAGCTTCTGACTACTCAATTGTTTACGAAGGCTCGGCGGGGCAGAGTGATTCCGACATTGCCGCATAATGTGGTCAACGTCTACTTTCCTGACAGCATGAAATTTGCACTCCGCATTGGGGTACGTTCCGGGGTAAATTTTGTGGCGTAAGGCAGGGGAGAGAAAAGTCCGGGTTTGTAGTCTACGCCATATAGAGAACCTCATGCCTGCGGGAGGGTTGACGCAGTGAAGGTGGTAGGGTTCGGCGACCCAGGCGATAGTGCCCGAAAATGTAGTTGTATGCGAGTAATCTTTCTTAAGACAAATTCAGGAGGGAGCTCACTGATTTGTGAAGCGTTCCCTAGGCTAGCATGCACTCGGGTCGTTAAAGCTCGAGCGTTTGCGTGGGTCGCTTCGTTGCCACTTAGACTCGCTGGAGCCAGTGTCCAGATTAAAGCAACAAGTTTTGATGGTGGATAATGGGAGTGAATGGCTAAGGCTGTGTGAGAAATCACCGTGACTGCGCTCGCGCTTGACTGGCGCTAAAAATTTTCGCGATGATCGATTGAGGATGAAATGAACTCCTTTAGCAAAACTATTCGATGACTGCTTGGGAAAGTGTTGCAGAGCTCCTAAAAAGGCAATCACTCTAGCGAATGAATGACAAAGGCTGACACGAGATTGGTACTTATTTATAACCACCGCTTGTCCCCTAAGGTGATTTATGCCCTGTGGTCAGTAGCTGAAAACCGTAAACTTAAATGTACGAATCTACATGCACTGAAGTTCACTGTTACGTTTGTTTGTGCGACTGTGGGCAACGCATATGATCGCTTTACGCGCAATGCGCTACCAAAACTCACTGTGAATAAACACATGCGGGTTTTTCTTGGTGGTCTGCTAATTTTTTTGCAGCCTGCATGAAATGATCACCATAAGAGAGCTGTACATTGAAGGCCTTCACCTCGACTGAACATAGAGGCATTATCTCCTTTTCTTTTATGGTCAACCTTCGTGAAGCAAAAAATGAGGTCGTTTGTGGACGGCATGGTTTGATAATGTCCTTCAAGCCCCCAAAAAAACATCGCACAGTGCCTAAAGGACGTGCAGTAAACATATTTCACTGTCATTGTCGTTCAATATTGTTCATGACGCCACCAGGAGGCGACAGCCACTCCGCTGTACTGTGCAATTACAACTACTATTGTGCACATCTCGTGTCTCAGTGATATATGCTTTAGCTCACTCTGCGAGACATCAGGGAACGCCTTCAAGAAGATGTCCTATGCTAAAAATGTTATCAACATGAAATTGTAGCAAGTCACAATACTGCACACATGTTTAGCTAAACTTTCTGGCTAATGGGCTCTGTGAATCGGGCCTCAGAACGTTAGGTAATAGCGTGTGCCCGTTTAAGAGGGTTAAAGTCAGATTGATTTATATGACCGAATCGGCTATACAAGTTTGGTTTTGAACGTCCCAGGTACCGATTTCTACGACAAAGGCAGCAAGAACGGCGACAAGTTTGGCTACCGGCCTTCGTCGACCACGGTCAGCCCAGCGCTGAAGGTGGTGACGCGCGTGTCCTACAGCGTGGTCACCAATGCGCCCCTCACCAAGGATTCCGTGCACGAGAACGACATCACCAAGCACGGAGAAGGCAACGGCCTCAGCGGCGACGCCTCGGCGGACCACACGTCCACCACGCCCCTCAATGTGCCGACGACGTCCAAACGCGGCAAGCCAAGTTTCCTTTTTTTTTTTTTTGCGGGAGTGTCTCGTTTTTCGCAGCAGTTAAAAGCATAATGGCAGCGAACGCCGCAATAAATAACCGACCCATGTTTTTGATTAGGTGTCATAAAGTGACCCTTTAAAGCATAAAAGCACTGATACAATAAGATCGTAAGGACGGCATGGCGCCTGCTGGTATTGTTGATGGGAAAGGTCACTCGCCCGAAGGTGAACGAGATATAGACATTTTACACCAGTAGGATGACATTCAAGATTGCATTTGGGTCACGCAATGCGCAGCCTTCGTCTGTATATCATCTACACCTTCAAGTCATGTAAAGCATGCGCACGTGATCTGAAGTGTAGCGACGAATGCACACCACGTCTTCGCAATTTCACTTGCTGCCGGTCGGGTTGTGAACTAGCGCTGTCCACAGCTGCAGAATATTTGTTTCAGTGCACGATCATATAGTCTAGATGAGTGAAAGCTTCACGCTCTGTAGGTACGATTTTGTCGAGGCAAAGTGTACACCTAGGGTTGCAGCTATGCAGTGAAGTTATTGTTTATGCTTTAAAGATGTGGGTCTGAACTAAAAAGGGAAGCCCGCATTTTACAGAAATCTGTCTAGCTCTTTTTCTTTTTCCTGCGCGAGGAAGACAGTAATGTAGGCGAATAAAATACACGATGCTCAAAATAACGTCGTCAACACATCCTGCTCTATAAGCATCATGGTATATCTTTATTCCTGCAGACTGCGACTACCTGAAAGAGATCAAGTGCAAGAGCGGAGAATGCGTACCACACTCGGCATTGTGTGATCGCCGCATTGACTGCCGGGACGGATCGGACGAACGGAACTGCTGTGAGTATAAATGCGTTGCTGCCATATTTTCTGTCCTTCTCTTGAAGACCAATATCGGCCTTCCTCCATGTTTAAATTTCTTTGTTTATAGTCAAATCACCAAAGCATACTACAAGGGTCAAGTGGCCTACTGTATCACTTTAAAACTTTAAAAATGTTCACTCGAAGTTAGATGCGATCGTTTATCGATCAAGGGACGTCACTCGAAAGAACGTCTTCTTTATATTCTGAACGCCCTCTTCAGAATCTTGTTTATCGCAAGGGCTGCAGATGACGAAAACAAATCTTCTTGTCGAAGTGAGACATCGAGTTACATAATGTGTCCAAGGATTTCCCACAACCCTTGTGTAATCATCGCACGGGCATGTCAATACAGCTAAAAGAATTTCGGCTGCGAAATAGGAGGGTTAAACAACGTCAAACACAAAAAAACGTAAGCGCAGTTGCAATGTCGCTAGCTATGGTAACTACGTGCACTAATTTATGATGTGATCAGATTTCCTCTTAACCGATCACGTCTGTGGCAGCTTGTACGTAGGTTCATCGCAACCGCAGTAGCGTGGCTTCGAAGATTAGTCAAAGCATCACGTGGTAACCTAAAACTACTGATTATAAGTTATTCACTTCCGTTATCTTTGGAATGACTAGACATTGAGTAACAGGAATAATGAGTGATGAAAAAAAGAGAAGGCGATTCGCGTGTCAGTGATTTGAATTGGCTTATAGATTATATTGAGCTGTTATGCTAAACCTTAATGGTCATTTACGTTCAATACAACGAAAATATACAAGAAAAACTATCGAAGTTTTATACTTTGCTCGTATCTCTCTGAAATCGGACATATCCACATAAATACACAAAAGCGCGGATTCAAGTGTGAGTTAGCGTATAATTAGCTAATCGTTCGAAGGTTTACTGACGCAAAAATTACTTCCCATTGCTGACTGTAAGGCTACACTATTGTTACCTCAGCCAGTATTGCAGTCCTGCAAAATGATTGACAGCTGTAGGGATATGACTGGAACGTTTAGACATTACTAAGCATGCAAGCATGAGAGACGTGGCTTATACATATTTGTGATAACATTCGCACATCCGTGAGAAGCACAATTATTGAATTCGTTCCGACTACTACCTGGCCTTTTTCTTCCTTACAGCTTGCAAAGATTACCTCAAGCACGAACGTTTGCAGCACAAGATTTGCGACGGCATTCTCGACTGTTGGGATCTGACGGACGAGATACATTGTCGTAAGGACTACCCACTACATTTAGTTATGTTTTCACGAGTGTGGTGGTATATTATAGCCAGTTGTGTCACCTTTCCATCGTGTCTCGTTCATGTTAAGTAAAGAGCGTCGATGTTCGGTTATGGCTAATTGCATTAATACGTCAGATGAACATGCTGTGACGAACGATAAATGCACGAATGTCAGAGTCCGTCGTTCTGTGCTTCCTGGCTATAGCGAAATGCAAAGGGTGCGGAGATGTGTGACCGATCAAGTGAAATGCCAGGAGGTACTTCTGCATGACGTGTCTGTGTACATATTCATGTACAAACATTGCTTTACGAAGTAGAAATGCATTTCATTTTACATACTCCTGCATACGCACTTTAGCAATTCTATTGAGTGCATCCAACTTGGAGGAGCGTAATGTATGCATCAATGTAGTAAAAAAAAAAAAAGAACGCATCTGAAGCGTCGACGTAAGTGAAGGTGCTGTGGCAGCACCATTGATTAATCCTTGCCGACTATAGCTCTAGTTTTTGTTGTCCCCCATAGTGTATCCGTGTTACCGCGAAGTGATTGGAAAGATTACGAGATAACAGATATGACTTCGTCGTTACGATTACAAGTGCATGTGAACCATTCGACATTGCCAACACGATTCCCGAATTTGCGGGGACACTAATGTTGCGGGCAGATTGAAACGCTGGCCTGTATAATTCTCTAAACAAGTTCGCAAGTTCACTGTGATGGCCGCTGGATAAAAAACAACTTGTTTTTTTATCCAGTGGACGTGGCAGTGCTCTGCCATAAGATGTACGTAACTATACAATGGCCACCACTTTTAATGACGCCGTTTCATTCTACTTTTTTAAAGCTTGGTGCAGTCCTGAGATGTTCGTATGCCCCGGAGCCAAGCAGTGCATACCTCAGAATAAAGTGTGCGACAGCCATCACGACTGCCCGTATGGGCTGGACGAAGTTCAGTGTGGTAAGACGCATTATGTTAATTTGCAGCATACTTCGTTGTTTTTTATGCTTTCACACCACGGAATACGTTATTAAAAGGACGGTGAAATTTCTTGTCTTCCAGTTGATCATATAGAAGTTTGTATAGTTAGTCATCGAGCGTATTTCAGTACGCAGCACAGCGGAACGTTGGTGGCGCAGATTTGCGCACCAGGGTCGCCGTAACATGCCGCAAACATCAGCTTGTGGACACATAAATATACACTTTAAACGATCGGGCGACACTTGTCAGGTGGTGCTAAGGCGTTGGAAGCAACAAGGATTGGTGTGCCAAAGTGTTTTTTTTATTTTTAATTGTTCTTTTTCTACCAGAATAATGACGCAACATGGGAACGTTTCTGAAAAATTCCGAATTGAGAAAGCCTCACGAAACGACTCCCGGTGGTACCGGTGGTGCTTTTCAGGAATTACACGAGATATATGTTTACGCTCGTGCTAACACTCAGTGTCTTGATGTCCTGATCTCGCGATGTCACATGGACAGCCGTCAGATGAGAACACACTGTTCGGTCAAAAGAAACAAAACGGTTGCGCCAGATCAAAACGCCTCAGAGAAGTCGGTCGGCGATTATGCAGGTGAGCCTATCCTTGTCGAAGATACCCTCCTAATCATTGGCGTTTTATCTAAAAAAAAGTAGAGGATAAGAAACAGGACAAGGGAAAGTTTTATTTCAGTGCGTTCATTATTAAAGAACCTGGGACCGAAATCACAAAACCTTTGTTTTGTAAGTGCGTATTCCCATTGGTCAGGCGGCTTTGCTTATGGTATGATCAGCGGTGTGATTGGCTGAAATATTCTCTCACGAAAGTTTTTAGCCTGAGAGGTTCTCGTGCGTATACGGGCACTGCTCAGCGCAAGCTGATGAATCCCGTCAGCTCTCGTGAGGAACGGATACGCCTTTCGCGCGTTCAGTGGAGACAAGTCTCCTGGAGCGGTTAATGGCGGCGGCTATGTCCCAACTCTTCAATTCGCAAAGAAATTCGATATATCCTTCTTACAGTATAATACCCGTGCCACACTGGCATAGAAAATGACATTTGGTGGCGAAGGCCTTCAGTTTCCGAATGACATTTGTTTCGCCGGCGCTGCTATACACGTCCAAAGCGAATGACATTTGACTTGATGATGTCGATCGCAGCACCTTCCAAGTGAGCATTGGGGGAATAGCAATAAAAAAATAAACAAGCGTTTACAAGCTTCATACACATCATATAATCATTAAAAACAGAAATAAGCATATTACGCTGCCCTAAGTGTAGTTTCTTGCTTTGTTTTACGACGTTGCAGCCGACCGTAGCAACCTAAGCCAACACTAGTCAGATCCACAGCGTAATTAGAAAATGGCGCCTGTCGCATCGCACTTGTCGCATCACTCAGAAGATGTTCGCAGAGTTCATTTTTTCACGGCAGCACTTGTGTGTTTCCGTGCAAAGCATCGCGCTCAAGAGCGAATAATTCTGGAGCAAAGACGTGTTAGTATGCGTCAGCTTCAGTACATTGAACTTGAATTAATTTTAAACCATTTTAACCTGATCTTCGTATAACGGTCAGAGCACTTTTTTAAAAGTTTAGTGCAAATAAAAGACGGGAAGTTTTATTTTTAGCTGAATATGATTTGTTTTATTTACTTTAAGGTAAATCGCACTTCGCGAGCTGTGTCGTCGAGAGTAGGCATTTCTCAGTCAACTGAGTTCTCGCGAAGGCATTTGGTGGCGAATGGCATTCGGACGAATGCCATTTCGTTCGCCCGTGTGGCACCACGTGAATGGCAATAAATATGAAGGTATTCGGGGGTAAATGCCATTTTCTCTGCCCGTGTGGCACGGGTATTAATAATATACCTTCGCTTCTAAAATTAAAAGAGAAAGGAAATGAAGCATGGGGTTTGAACTTTCAGAAGCCATGCTTTGACGACGCTGCCCAGCGAAGGAGAGCGGCGTATTTGTCAACTTGTACCTGACTGCTTTTCCGGCTCCTCCGCTATCTCTAATTGCCAAGGAAAAATCATTTGTAGTTGCATTATTAATTACGATTCGGTTATGAGGCACACTGCTGTACACGAGGGACTCCAGGTTAATAATGATCGCACGAGTTTATTTAATGAGCACCTAAATCTGAGTACACGTACTGCGGTTTCTGTGTTCGAACCCAGAACCTCGAGCAAAGTTACTCAACTCCACAGCCACTGGGTCAGCGCGGCGGGTATCCGCACAGCTGTTGCATTGGCCGTGTACACGTTGATGTTCCTTCAGGCCAATGAGCCAGCGTAATTAAACAAACATTATTCACTGTGGCGTTAATTGATGCTGAAGTACCATCGACGCTGGCACGCAGTGGGTCTGGTGGACGAAGAAGAAGGAGCCACTTCCATGTCGGGCCAGGGCTACCTGCAGCTCAAACGCAACGGTGTCTGGGGCAAGCTGTGCGTCGACCGGTTCCCGCGATACCTGAGCAACGGCACCTGGTCACTCGGCGAGATCGGACACGCAGCCTGCAACACACTTTCGTACAGGTCAGAAGTTGGAGCGTCGCGTAACATTCGTGAAGTTCGCTCGCTTGGGCGTGTAATATGAAAGAACAGCCTCATCAAAGCCTCATCACATAAGCTTCGCCATTGACGATCGCACTGGACACCGAGCAGAGCATTTCGCACTCTTTAGAGGGCAGAGGCTCAGTTCTATAGACGATTTTTACATAACACACACTGGTGTCGCCCCCTTCGGCCGTTAATAACTATTTTCTTATTTCGCACATCGCGAAGTCTTATTAGTAAGGCCGCAAAGGTTAATGCACCAAACCAACTATTTTTCCGCGTGTGCGTCTATACCGTAGCGCTGTTCACTTATTAAGACACAAAACGGCATAGTTAGCTGCCCAGTACGGCAACACGGAAATCAGAACGTACGTAAGTCTGTACCTAAGTTCTTAAACTGGAGCACTTAAAAACTGGAAACTGACGTATTTATGGAAGCGATATGAATTACGGAATGTAAGACCTTGGGAGTGCCTTTGTTTCAGGTGCTACGCGGAATTTTTAATTAATGGTTCTTGTTACAAAACATTCTAACAACCTTTCAATTCTTCTGTGGCCGCTTCAAAAGCACGATATATCACGTTGTATCCCATATCCAGTTGTAAGGGTTGATTGATTGATTTACTGATCAATAGATCGCTTGCTCGGTTGTTGGTTGCTTGCTTGATTGATTGATCGATCGATTAATTGATTGATTTTATTGTACAATGCTACTACTTCCTTATTATGAGAAACGCATGATTTTAAATCTTTTGCTGACGTTGTCGAATAGGACAATGCAGTGGTACCTGCTGCACAATTACCGCTCTTTGACGTTTCTTCTCTTTGTTCGCAGGAAAGTACTAGCTATCCGGAGATCGAAAGACAAGAAGCACGGAGACGACAGCCAGTACTTTGAGATGAGGCATGAGGACGATGAAAAGTCTAAGTACGAAGCTGTTTACTGCTAGGCTTTACTCGTGTCGTACTCTTTCTTTCTTTTTTTTTTCTTTCTTTCTTTCTTTCTTTCTTTCTTTCTTTCTTTCTTTCTTTCTTCTTTCTTTCTTTCTTTCTTTCTTTTATTTCTTTCTTTTGGATATTGAGACCATTTACAGGTAAACTGAACGTTAAGTGGGCTCTAATTTTATTGCAATGATTTCCTTTCCAGCATCGCTGTAATCTACAAGGAGACGGACTGCCCAAGAAAAGAAGTACTGCACATCAAGTGTTCCACGCTTGGTAAGACGTGTTGCTGAATTCGCAACCGCACTACGTAACACGTCAATCAACTCCAAGACAAAGGGGCAATCTCATGAGCTTTGTGTGCATACTGCCGTGCCGCTGAGTCATCGTGAAGGTTTCTTCAGCAGACTGCCCTTATACATAAAATATTTACATTATTATCATGGGAGGCATGTCAGAGGTAACCAAACACGTTGAATTCCTGCATAGCGTCTACTAAGAATCGGTGGAATGGCCCTTGTATCTACCCTTGTAAGTCAGGAGTTCGTATGTTGAATTCACACCAAAGAAAGCTACGGCAACGGTGTTCACAGTTTTGTAACACCATTCTGCGCACAGTTGGGAGCAGTACGACTTATAAGGACAGATTGCCCCTTGAGCAACAGCTCGCCATTTTTCGGGTTAGTACGACGCGTGTTTTTCTAGGTAAGCTTCTCGTCTGAGAAGATGAAAACGTTGGTCACCTTATTCAGCATTTAAATATTAAATAGATAAATAAATAAATAAATAAATAAATAAATAAATAAATAAATAAATAAATAAATAAATAAATAAATAAATAAATAAATAAATCCCAACTTAAAAGCAGCTCGGGCGTTTCTTGCCATGTAGATCGAAACCTGTGTGTAACGCATGTGATTGGTGCACGCAGAGTGCGGCATCCGTCCTCTGGGCACGTCTCTACGACAGCGCATCGTGGGCGGCCACAGCTCGGCTCCGGGCTCCTGGCCCTGGCAGGTGGCCTTGTACAAGGAAGGCGAGTTCCAGTGCGGCGCCGCCCTCGTCAGCGACCGCTGGCTCGTCACAGCGGGACACTGCTTTTACAAGTCAGTCTAAGCAGCATAGCACGTCTACTGTTAAGCAATGAGCCTTCCATGCTTCCGTCTCTATAAAAGTGTTCATTGGCATGAATGTATATTGCTATTCCTTGTACGTGGTGGTGTGATTTTTTTAAGTCAAGAAATATACATCGAATGAAAGGTAACGCACTCGAAAACTGCAAAAATATAGGTTAAGCGGTCGAATCACGTTTGTAAGCTTGTAGCGAGTTCGGTTTACGTGAGACAGGTATTCAGATTGCGTTTTTAGAAGAACAAAAGTGACACTGAAGAATGAGGCTGGCGAAAAAGCTGATGATAACCATCTGCGCAGAAGTCCGCTAATAAAGGATTCTGTATACAGATGCCAACAAAGCTTTGTTTTCTGCAAACGGGTGTTGAAACAGTGTTGAATAATTCATTGTAGTTTCAGCGGTGGCTCGGTTGGTGACCCATAGTCGATAATTACAGCTCATAAAACAAATACGTCAGTGTATGTGTCCTCTTTTTTTTTCGAATGAGACGGGACTGATCCAACATTTGGATTGATCGAGGGTTGATTTATGTCAACCATAACCCGATGACACGAACAGGCGATGAAGCCAGGGAACGTATAGGGCACATTACTTGCATGTTTTAACTGAGGTATAATAATCATAACATAAAGGAAAAGGAATTGAAGTGGATGAAAAAATAAACTTTCCACAGCTACGGACCGAACAGTCAACCTTCGAGTAACGCGTACATTCTGTCCTATTTGTCCAAACCTTCGAAAAACGTCTATTATGCAAAGTATATATTAAACCACTGTGACTCCCGCAGAACGACCACTGAATTTTGAAAAAAATACACAATTGCAAATTATCATTTCCCCTCGTGTTAACAAGAGCGCTTTTCTTGACGCATATAAAAGCGCGATTATAGCCATTCAAACAGAATAAGATGTGTTTGTTTACGTTCTTCTACACTCTCTATACGCCTTTGTGATCTTGACAGCACACTGACGTCACACTGGGTGGCACGGATGGGCATGCTGCGACGCGGCACCGAGATGCCCTCTCCGTTCGAGGTGGTGGCCAGCATATCGCACGTGGTCATCCACCCGGAGTACGTGGACAAGGGCTTCGCCAACGACATCGCGCTGCTCAAGCTGGACAAACCCGTGGACTTCAGGTAGCCTCATGATCCACTCCATTTACTGCGTCATCGATTGATGAGAACTTACAACCCCGCGGTAAAAAAAAATAAAAAGCGGGAAAAAGAATACACCGAGATTTAAGTAAATGAGGGATGAAAAAAATAGAACGATTGCCAAAACACCAGATTTTTAACGAAGGAGCTGTTGCGTACACTTGTAATTTAAGAAAAAGAACGAGTATATGTTAATGTTTCCGTTGAGTCCTCACTGGCCAGGTATATGACTCATTTAAAGGTGCGCATTAACTCTTTTGGGTCCAACGACTCCACTAAGCGAGTACAATGACCCTCAAAGAGAGTTCACACGTCTCTTTTATCATCATCATCATCATCATCATCATCATCATCATCAGATGGACTTCCTGCTGTCCACGCACGTTATTCCCGCAAACTTCTTAACCTCACTTGCCTGCGTAACTTTCTGTCTTCCCCGGGCATCTTGGAATCCAGTCAGTTACCCTTGATGACCAGCGGTTATTTTGTGCACACGTCATGTTTCCTGCCCATGCCCATTTCCTCTTCTTGATTTTGACTATATGACGTCCTACGTGCTCTGACCTATTCTCGTATCTCAAGGTTAGCCTTTTTTTTTACGCTGCTTGCTGCTCACTGCTTGTCTTTTAAAGGAGAATCATATGCGTTGAAGTCCACAGGGACAAAGTAGAGTTCCGTGCAGGGCTCCTCAATTTTCTTAGGAGTGTGAGTGGTATCTTGAGACATCGAAAATTTGCGCTTCCAGCACTGAAGCGTCCCTTCATTAATGTGATGATGAGAGCATGAGCCTAAGGTAAATGTTGCAAAATTATTCTCGTCGTTTGTTCTTGCAGAAAGAGAGCGAGAGAGAAAGACAGGCGTATAAGAAAGAACTGCAGGGAGCTTAACTAGACGTTCTATATATAGTCTGTTGCCCTGCATATGAAAAGGATAACGGGGGAATACAAGTGACAAAGAAGGCACGAATGCACGCCCTTCTCAAGCATGGTACAAGCGTATCTACTGTCTCTCAGTGAAGTCTGCTGCCTTCATAATCCAGAAAATCACGCACATCTGGACCAATAAGCAGAGAAGGGTAACTCCCGAGGGCTTTCTTTTTGCAAGAAGCTGACCTTCAAGTCAAATGTAATGTCCACTGAAGTTTCTGGCGGTGCTTATTTAAACGAGAACAGTAGTTTCTTTCGTTTTTAGTGGCATTACATACCTATTCGAGAATTTTTTTTACCAGTGACTACATTCGACCCATCTGCCTGCCGAGCGACGGTGAGACGGAGAGGCCGAGACACACATCATTCTGCGTGGCGGTCGGCTGGGGAAAGCTGCTCGAAGTGGGACGTCTATTTCGTAAGCATCATTCCCAAGCTTCCTCTTTTCGGACAATTTGTCGAGTTACGTTGCTGTTGTCGTCGTTGTTGTTGCTGTTTTGCTCGCTATGAAGGCCAGCGCAGAAATGCAAGGCGAATCTCACAAAAGCTGGCGTGCGTTCTGATCGTGCATCTGCTTTTCATTCGTTTCTACGCTAGTGTTTCACAGAGCCACTTCTCTTTTTGCGTTCATCGTCTCACCGAAACTCGAAGCGGCTTTGAATGAGGAGAAGAAGAGAAAGGTGCCGCGCCGCATCTGTCTTTCTCGCATAGGAGGACACTTCAACAGCCACGAGGTTTCCTAATACGAAACAGTGTATTAAGCCTAGCATTCTAAACAGTATGGATGTTCACAAATATGTAGGACATCACCAGTAATTTACGGTAGTTGAATAAATACGCCCAGTAGCCAAGATTGGCTCCACTATGAGACACTTGTTATCCGACTATTGTTAGTTATTTCAGTGTAGGACGTGTTCAGTCACCTTGAACAAGTTCTCAAATATTTGCACCCCACGCTGTCTTAGCAATATTGAAACAGCGATGTAAAAAGAACGATACGTGCACTATACCGGTTACCCAAGTGTCATCGGCTCATATTGCGTTTTCTCCGTACAGTTAAACATTTGAGATACGCTCTAAATTCTAATGATTAATCACGACTCTTACGTCTTTGTTTGTAGCCGACACGCTACAGGAAGTGCCATTGCCCGTGCTGACAACGGAGGAGTGCCGCAGGAGGACACTCTTCCTGCCGCTGTACAACATCACAGAGAACATGTTCTGTGCAGGATACGAAAGGGGAGGCAGGGACGCCTGTCTGGTGAGTACACAAGGTTTTCAGCCTGCACGAAACTACGGAAGGAATGGCCAAAGAGAAGAAACGGCCTTCGTGGTTGTGTTTACCACTGTGCTTTGTCAAAGAAGGAAAGAAAAGAAGGAAGAAAGAAGGAAAGAAATAAAGAAAGAAAGAAAAGAGAGAAGGAGAGAAATAAATAAATAAATAACGAAAGAAAGAAAGAAAGAAAGAAAGAAATAAAGAAAGAAAGAAAGAAAGAAAGAAAGAAAGAAAGAAAGAAAGAAAGAAAGAAAGAAAGAAAGAAAGAAAGAAAGAAAGAAAGAAAGAAACGCGCAACACCGAACATTGCCATTGCACATTATTTTATGAAAGCTGACTTCTCCACAATAAGGCATGATGAAGGGTGAAGCCAACTTTTGCAAATATACTTGTTGAGGTTATTTATAGAAGTAACAAAATGCATTACCACGGCCGCGAAAAACTTCTTTGAGCATCTAACAACGCAAAAATCCAAGAATCTACGAGATGGTTTCCAACCTGAGTATTCTCAATGCGCCGATGCCCGTCGGCTCAGCCGAACGCATCATTGGCGTACCCGTGTGCTAACGAATTACGCAATTTCCTTCCAACGTGCGCTGTACGCTGCTGACGATAGTGGGACTCAATTTTAAGGTAAATAACTCAATTGGCATGATGCCGGCGGCATCTCGAGATGGGTGGCAAGCGGGATCCTCTTCTGTGCATTGTGTTCGTTGTGTCCGCGCTGTGCGAATGATGACTCTCTGAACTAGGGATAATCTCCAACCCTGCTGAAGCGCGGCACTCGGACATAGAAACTGGTGGTGATTTTTCCAGGACAATACTCGTCTGTACAGTCATCATTAATTAAATTTTGTGCCATGTATTCATTCATTCATTACGTGTGTATTCCATATAAACATTTTCATCACTTTGTAACTCTTGTAGCAGTGCTTCATTCATCAAGCATGGCCGACCACATGTGTTTGTAAAATGTCTGTGCGCTTAACCTAATAATATTATAGTTACTCGAAATTTTTGCGACATGTTCAACAAATTTCCATTTGTGTAATACGCTCATTATATATGCATGCCCTTTTTCATTCTCTTTAAAATACGTAGTGAGTCTGAAATAATTGAATAAATAAATAAAACATGCTGTTGTAAGCAATAAATCGGTTAGACCTTTACGTATAATAATGCGTGCATGTATATGCAAACAGGGTAGCTTTGTAAAACAAACTGCTTAAATGAAATATGTTAGCCTCTGTTAAAGATTTCTTGCAAGTGCGATCCCGTTACAACCTCATCGCCAAGAGACGCTGTCTTCGCGAACTTTTTTTTTCCTCAGGGTGACTCCGGAGGACCGCTTATGTGTCAGAAAGTGGACGGCCGGTGGTCTCTGGTCGGGGTGACCAGCAATGGCGACGGCTGCGGACGTCCAGGCAGGCCTGGTGTCTACACCAAAGTGATGCGCTACCTGCCCTGGATTCACAGTACCATGGGTGCGTACTGCGTACTCCAGCTTACGGATTTCTGAGCGAATCAAAGGCGCGATTTTCCCCATCACCATTCATACGGTACGCTGACATCTCTTTCCGTCTTGGTTATTCTCATTCTTTATAAAATCAGAGGACACTAATCAACATGCAAGCAGAGTGCAGGCGCAATCCATTATATTCGTTATCAGTGAAGAGAGAGGGAGACTCTCGATTAGATAATTCGATTTTTACCGGCGTATATATATCGCTGGCATGCTACTCTGTATAGAGATGGGGAAGGGGACTGAAATGTTTCAGAATAGAGAGAAGAAAAGAAGAGAAAAAAGGAATATAAACAGATACGAAATGCGCAAGTGAATCTGTTAAAAGTATTTGCAATCAGGGTGTCATGTTGAGAATTTCCTGTGGGAGGTAATTGCGTATTATCAGTTTATCAGTGAAAGAAAATGCAGTGTAGCACGGAATGTAACCGTATCACAAAACTTGACCCGATCCCCTATACAAAACCAAATCAGTTATTTGCAATATCAACATTCGCAGAAAGTGACCCGGCACCCAAGCCACCGAGCACGTGCAAGGGCGTGCGCTGCCGCCTCGGACGGTGCATCACTCCGGACCAGCTATGCAATGGCACCAAGGACTGCTTCGATGGCCGCGATGAGGAGGACTGTCCCATTGGCAGCGGCTGAGGACGTCGATCGCTGGCGAGAGCCTATGTTCAACCGTCACGACTTCGTTGCAAGGGCTCTTGCTTTGTTGGCCAAACTTGCACTGTGATAGACACAACCCTACCCAACAACCCCATCCCCCGTTTCTTTTTTTTTCATCTCAGACACTCCCGTGTTGTGTGTGTATAGTCCCTCGTTCCAGTCTTTGTTGTCCACGGGCATTGTGTGTCTTCAGTGTCCCCTCACATTGTGGTGCTATTACGCTGTAGTATACGGGCGTTGTATACATTTTCAGCTAGAAACCTCGCGCAGTGCGCTTAAGAGTGAGCTAGCATACAGTTGCTTTGTTGCACTTTCTTTTTCGAGACAGTAGGGTGCTTTAGCGTGCCATTTAGTGCCCTGACGAAAGCGGAACTCTCGTGCAATCTGAAGGTTTTAAAATACACGAGTTTTTCCACCTTCGCCTAACTCGCTCAGCTACGCAAGGCGCGTCTGTGACGCGGTTTAGCGAGCACGCGCATATCTGATAGGCTGCGGAGATGATCAAAAAGATGAGGTATTTCAAAAGCTACCTTGTGCTTTCGAACAGTGACACCCACTTGGTACTAGAATCCACGCAGTATTCACCCTAATCTAGCCCTATAACCTGCGTGACTGTTCGCTCCATGGCGCATCACAGCACCGTTGTCAAAAAAAAAAAAAAAGAAGAGTGGACATATCTATGTATACTTGTGTGTCGTGAAAACGTCGTGCTGCTTGGTGCCAATTGCTGAAGGAGCGATAAAGCAAAAGTGCGCGTCCTCGGCGCAGTACCCCACCTGAAGGTTCTCTGCGCGTGTGTGCGTGTTACGGGGGATTTCGCCAGCCGTAACGGCATACAAAGGTGAGAAGGACACTGTACGCTCTCCAGATGCGAGTCATCAACACCCTGTCATTCCGCGTGACCTTGCCAATTCAATCTCACTCTCATTGCCGCTCTAATCTAGACGCTGCGATGCAAGCAACTACACTGCACCACGTTATTGTCTCAACCTCGTCCACGCTAAACGATATAAGTGCTATCGTCGCGCGGTGATGGAAGTGTGCGCAAGTAACTGATCTCATAACAGTTTTCTTTTCACGTCATCAATGTTTGCGATTTGATATGATTTCATCATACACTCGTAACACGTATTAAATTCGGAACTATAGAGCGACATTTCTAGAAAGACCCAATATAAATAGACTAACACGACACATTTAGCTTGAAGAATAAAAAACGCAGACAAGCGCGGCGTCTCTTTGTCAGACTTTACACTCTAAACCTAAACAGCTGACGATACCTGAGCATAACTGTTAAGACATCTCGCGGTGCTGCAACAAAATGAGAACGCTTTCTTGGCTACCAAGCCAAGAAGTGATTTGCATGTGGCTACATGACAGACGCATGGAGAACGAGTCACTGCAATCAAACAACTCATTACCTTAAGGAGTATACAGCATCATATGCGAGTATCCAGGCACAACAGTAAACGACTGGACAAATAAGTCTTGTTGAAATAATGTTTAGTATGTAGCTTCAAGAGGCTGCCAGATACAAGCAGTTGTCGTGCTAGGTGAGCCCAAACGTTCCAAACATTCACCGCTTCATTAACCCTTCATTTCTTGATCACTTGATAACACAGCTGCCCGCGCAAAAGGTTGTTGCCGCGTGCGACTCACTAAAGCTTCATGTGATTCCGCCGCAATGCATGAACGTATGCATCATTTACAATAGTCTCTGAAAGCCTGCATCGTTCACGCAATACCAGCGATGGACGTAACGCTAGCGCTGAATGGAGGCAGAAAACAAACTCATCTTCAAGAGCAGCTAAGTAAGGTTGGGAAGCGCACAGCTCAATAATAAAAAAAAAAACATGTCTCATTTCAAATCGTTTTCCCTCTAGTCAGCTTGGGTCAAGCCCCATTCATATATACTTACTCACTAGGCTCACGTAATTTATGTGTTAATCTTCCAATTAAATGGTCCTTGTAAATGTATGCATGGTACTTTGTGTGTTTCTGGCGCCGCTGTGATGTGTTTGAATAAAAATAAAAGTGGTGAACTTCCGACAACTTGTTTTTACTCAAGGTTACCTGGATAGCACATAGGAAACGTGGCGTTATAGCTTTTTTTTTTTTTTTCAAGTGACATCGAGATTCTTGCCGCTGGTGCAGACGAAGTCGTACACTATACCACATTACCTGGGACTGCTTGAGGAGTCCACCACATCCGACAGACTCAGACCTGGCACTAACAAGAACGTCGGAGACGTGGGAGGCGCAGCTTCGGCCTGGCCGACTTTCAAGCGCTGATCGACCAGATTGAACGGGTGGCTGTGGCAAGTGGGACCTAAGGCTCACCCCCTTACGATTATTAGTTTTCTTGTTCTGTCCAGCCAAAGGGTGCGGCAACACTGCAACCTAAGCCGATTATTCACAACGCAGATCGTTGGGCAGGTCTGTTTCTAAGGGTGTTCGTGAACACAGGCACCAGGCACGGTTAACCGTTACAACGAACATAGCTTTAGATAGGTAACCGGTAGAGCTCTAGCAAATGAAAAGGCGTTTGAGCTATGCGATATGCATGACTCGATGCTCGCAAAGTTAATACGATACAGAGGGTTGAAAAGGGTCCTAAGAATGAGCCCCAATCAATCGCTCGCAACGCAGCTGGAACTTGCCGCCAAGACCCTGCAGGGACAGCCCGGGGAAACTGTAGCGAAGAGGGCTCGCCATCAAGTAAACACGGAGCTGCCGGCCAGCGAAGCCGTGCGAAACGGCTGTGATGTAGAACCGTCTTGGATACCAATCTTAGCTCGCTCGCTCACCCTCGACCATAAGCCAGGTGTTTCCTGCAAACGCAAGCGATTCCCACTCGTACAGGCCAGTGCCAAAGTGGTAAAAAGGCTCAAGTAGGAACGTATAGTTTTCGGTAGTATACGAGTACAACAAGACGCATCAGCAGACACTCGTGTATACGTGGAACTCAGTCGATGTACCAACGTCGACTACTTGTGTACCAGGCCGACGTCACGGTGACTTCTATACCACAAGACCTCCAACGAACACAAGGACATGCTCGGCGAGTCTCGGCGTCTCGAGCAGCACAGGTTGCCCACGCTAACGGTATACGGTACCCTGCAAGAAGACGTCGACCACTCGACCGAGTTCATCCTTGCGCTTTGCAACGTGCGGTCTTTCAACGTACGCGTTGATAATATAGAACATAATCCTGCCCTGACCAGAGCCTATACGCGCTCTGCTTCACGGAGACGTGCAACGCTGAAAGGATGTATATATATATATATATATATATATATATATATATATATATATATATATATATATATATATATATATATATATATATATATATATATATATATATATATATATATATATATATATATATATATATATATATATATATATATTGTAGCACTTTCTGGTCGGCGTACTTCGTAAAATTGTAAACGTAAACGAAATCAACAAGAAAAAGTGAAAAAACTTTGCACATACAGGTGTCACAACACATACAAATACATAAATAAAGCAATGGAAATATACACAAGTCAACAAAAAAGTACTTCACTAGTAAACATACACACAAACAAAATGCCTTTACGCAGTACATTACAAGATACTATTTATGTTCTTTGGGTTTTAGTTTGAGTAGGCGACAATCGTCTTTTGCATATTTGTTTAAAATCATTGGTAAGATAAATTGGAGGGTTTTATTTCCGTAGCTAGTTCTCGTGTAAGCAAGGACATATTTTTCGTCACTTCTAGTACAAACAGTTTTGTGTTTCAAGGTTAAGTTTGCTAAAGATATGAATGAATGTATTACGACAGGTGGTGAAAATCTCAAACAATGCAATAGCCGATGTTCGTAAGTACTCGTATTAACAATAATATTATATTTAAGAAAGAACTATCTTGTGTGTGCTCCGTAACCGATGCCGGCAATATGCCTCACGGTTTTCTTTTATAGTACAAGTAGTCTGTTAAGGTGAGTTTTTGATGCCGTACCCCAAGGAAAATGGCAGTAATTTATGTGTGACTGAAACATAGCACAATAAATGGTTAGCTTAAAGTGGGTAGGAAAATCAAAATGACATCTGGGAAGCAAACCAACTACGTGATACAATTCCTTTTCGATGTGAGTGACGTGATTTGTCCACTTCATTGACCAATCGAATGCTACACCAAGTGACTTAAAAGAATTTGTGACGTCTATTCGTCTTTCGCTAAGCACTAAACGGTTTGTTGGGGCAACTACTATATTTATATGCGGAAAGAAGACAGCTCTAGTTTTTTTTTCTTTTTAGTATTTATGAGTCGTCCACTCACCACTGACCACTCATTTAATGCTTTAAGGACAATACTTCCCCTACGTATAAGCTCGTCGGGGTTGTGGCCGCTAAGGAATATTCTTGTATCATATAACGAATGAAATGTGGGTCATGTACATATAATGTACATATTTCATCGAAATGTATATAGTGCATCCAAATGTAAATAATGAACATTGTGAATGTTATTTATATAACAACGTTACCACGTCTATCTGTATGATGGTAGGAGATGTGTACCGAGAATTCGCGGGCTAACAGATAATTTCCGAGCAAGCTACTCTGACATCATTCAACTTGTGGATACGGCGGTGATTTTCTTTTCTCATATTATTTATTCATATTGTTAAACTTAATAAAGAACACTACAATTAGAAAAGAAAATTGCGCTATGTACAGAGCATGAATGACATGTGACAAATCAGTGTTCAAGGATAGATTCACATTTTCGCAGTTGTATAGCGATCAGCAGAAGTCTGATAGAGAGAACAACGAATGCCCATAATTCACAGTAGGCACAAAAGACGAAGTACACATGCTATTCCATCAATGTTTGGAAGAAGTGCCTAATGATTTTGCGTACTTTGTAATCAATTAAGGGAGAGCAGGATGTGTTTGGAAAAAAAAATGCTTAACAATTTCGAGTAC